ATTACATCATTGCGTTTTACAACCCATCTGCCAAGCAACAATGGCCACAATGACAAATTTCTTCTACCTACGGGAGAGGCATAAGTCCAGCAGTGGAAATTTAATAAGCTGTAATGAATGAATGAATGAATCCACGACTTTTACACGTTTTACGTCGTTAATGGCATTTCATCGTGAAGAAAGAAAAAAGTACAAATTTTTTTGATGATTCTGAGTTGCGCATTAAGCGGCGCCGTCGTTGGCATAGTCATTGCAAACCGTTCTGCAAAGAGTGCTGGCATATTCTTCTAAAGTTGGGAGTAGCTCTGTGACTATACTATATCAAAGGATTAGAAGACTTAAGTCAGTAAACTTGCCGATAGTGATTGAACTGGCAACCTTAACGTGACGACCGATGTTATGATGTGGGTGTGTTTTTTGTTGTTACGACACCCACTGAAGCTGCATCTTCTTAATAACGATTAAAAATGAAAATTGCGGTTGCCATCCCTGCCAAGCGTGGCAACTATCGCAAATATACCCCCTATGAGGTAATGTATGGGGGGTGCCTATGATGAGCAGTGTACTTAAGTAGGATGTAACGGTAACATGAGATACAGTCATCACTTACTATCAAATGGACTGTCACCTCGTTAGTCACTCTATAAATATTTAAAAATATAAAAATGTATTCACCTGCGTTTACTCCATAAAATATGCAACAACCAAACAATAAAATAGACCCAACCATCTTGATAAACTAAGTGCGTCTGCTAACGCTTAAACTAGTTCGTGCAGTTATATACTCGTAGCTATCTAACAATACCTGTTATATGCTTATAAATCATATACATTTCACAATGTAATCTCAAGGTCACGGTAAAATAGAGCTAGGCTGCAAATGTAGGTACTGCTGCTCAACCGGGGATTGTCTATGCTTGCGCATAATCGGAGTCTTAACAATTTCCCTGTCCGCGAAAAAGACAAAATAGTTAAACAATCGAAATGTTCATTTAATGTGACTCACGGGACAGTGAAATGGTTAAATAAAACTAATTTCACCTCGATGGTGACGAAACTTTTTTTTAAAAAGCAAGGTAAATATGCCAGAGGATAATAGAAACGTGCCATATCAACAACAACCTACTGTACTGAACCTTGGTAGCTCAGATGGTTAGCGCTCGCTGTAAATTTGACACTATGCGAGTAACCCGGGTTCGATCCCCGTCGGCACCATTGATATTGTTAATTGCAAATTTAAGCGCTGATTTACCACGTGCTCGGCGGTGAAAGAAAACATCGTGAGACAACCTGCATGTCTGAGAAAAAAGAAAAAATAATTTCGAAGACATGTAAAGTTCCCCAACACGCATTAGGGCAGCGCGGACATTTCCTTGTCCTAAAACCCTCTCAGAAATGAGGGGGAGCCATGTGCCCAGCAGTGGTACGTATATAGGCTGTAACTTTAACTTTTTAACATATCAACGAAATACGGTTGCAATTTTTGCAAATAATATATAATCATAATTTTTATCCAGACCAACAATCCAAGATAGTATTTCATTATATTATTCTTATCAACTAATGATAGTATAATAAAATATTAAAAAGAGAACCCACACATCTTTTGGATTCACAGGAATGAAAGAAAACAAAAAAAAACATGATGTGTGGTTTGCCAAAAACAGATTTTTTATTATAATCCGCTCAGACCAACAGAGAATATCCACGGAGAACAGCGTACAATTTAAGTGATGATAAAACCATGCTCAACTTTTCGACGTCCTCACGTACACATCTTTCTTCTTTCTTTATTTATCAGCTTTTAAAAGTTCACTGCTGGACAAACACACACATATGCACCTAAAACAGCGTTGTAGGTTGCAATTTTTTTAGTGCATATATTATGTGTGCGAGGGTGCGTGTGGATATAACAGTTCTACGGAACGTACATAATTTTATGTTGTCACTCAGCATGTGTCATCGCCGCACATATTTCATAAATTGATCAATCACTATCCTTTATATTTGTATATTATAAATGCGAAACTAACTTTGTTTGTCTGTCTGTTATGCTTTCACGCCTAACCACTAAACCGATTTTGATGAGATTTGGTACAGAAATATAATAGACCTTGGGAAAGGACAGAGGCTATCTTTTATTGGGGAAAAGGGCTATAAGTAAAATATTGTGTAAATAGTTATAGCGGTTTTGTTAAATTAGTTCAATAAAAGTAGCTTTCAAATTCAAGTAGGTACATTTTTTGATTCGTGTAGGTCAGGTAGAAGATTTTCTTTTGTTTAGTTACATATTATTATTTCATTCTAATATGCGTAGAAAAAAATCTAGCGCGTAGTTCTAGCAGAGCTCGCGCTGCGAAAGTTACTAAAAGCTATGAATCTGAAAAGCAGACTCAAGCCCGTTTGGTTTTAAATTCCGAGCGTAACGCAGCTCAAAGAGCTGCTCAGACTGAAGGGCAAAGTCAAGCGCGTCGGATTTTAGATGCCGAGCCTCATGCAGCTCAAAGAACTGTTGAGACTCAAGGGAAAAATGAAGTATGTCGGCTTTTAGATGCCGATTGTAACGTAACTCAAAGAGCTGCTGAGATTGACGGCTTTTAGTTTCCGAGCGTCATGCGTCACTAATTGCTGCAGAGTCCCATGCAGAATCACAAAGATGACGTGTTTTAAATACTGAACAGCAGTCACAAAGAAGAAGTGCATTTACATGTAGCACAACCTTTGATCGATTCTATTAAACATCGATTAGGTCTCATAAGACGGATAGATAAAAGATAAAAGTTTACATATTGTCAATCAATGTGTAAATTTTTTATCTGCCTGCTAAGACATGCAGGAAGTCAATGGATGCACGTGGCTCGGGACCATGCATTGTGGCATTCCTTGGGGGAGACCTATGTTCAGCAGTGGACTTGTGAAGGGCTGTAATGATGATGATGATGATAGGGCACTCGTGTACACCACACTTTTGGGTGGGGCAAAGTCCTATAGAGAATCTGGCATTCTCCTTTCACGTTAATAATCTAAGTGAGTGCGTTTTATCATCTAGGGTTATGCCAGCTATCGTTAAGTGCAATTATTAACCCTTTTAATTAATTATTGAATTATTTACCTTTTCAACATTTAATTCGTAATAGTATTCGTATAGTCCTTGGGGGAGACCTATGTTCAGCAGTGGACTTGTGAAGGGCTGTAATGGTGATGATGATGATAATGAAAATCGAAAGGGGAAACTACTACTACTAAATTATTTTTAACTATTTATTATTATTTTAACTACTAAATTTATTATTTTTAATATGGTAGATAGATAACTCACCTATAAGTGACCTACCTACCTATAAGTGATTAAATAGTTATTTTTATAATGTTTATAATTGAATAATTACGTTTATAAATTAGATACGTAGGTTCATGTTTTTTATTATTATTATTTCAGACGTTAAGAGTGGTTAAAAGCTGTCGGACGAGAAGATCTCTTTTCTAATAATTTTTATTATAAAAAAGGCAACAATATAGACTCTGTAAGTATCACTTCGAAAAATCTTGTATTAAACTAAACAAACATTTGAACGACTGAATAAGGTGTATGGTCATTGATCATTGCATATTCCGAACAAGACTTAACTTGGTAACTTCGAGTTTCAGCTTGTCATGCGGTATGCGCATTTTGCATTGTAGCTGTTTTTTGGATATATTTCGTGTTTTTACTTTCGTGGATTTATTTAACTTGACCCTTGGATTTTCTCTGGAATCATGGATCATCAAGTTTTTTAAATGACATTTTATTGATAAATGCAGAAAATAGTAAAACAATTTAAAAAAGTTGCGTTTTATTTTACTTTATTTAATTCAAATATTTACAAAACTGCATTATTTTGTATTTTATTCAATTTATTTAAAGAACTTATCACAAGAACGAGTAATTTACTACATAACCTACAAATCATAAAACATAAAATAAAATAAAAAAAAACCCCAGGTCCTGCAAAAATATGATTTTTGTTATAAATAGCAAATGTTTAAATCTTCAAACTAAGACATATTTTAAGTTTGTTCACGCCGGGCCCAAGCTTGTATGGAATCAAGTTCATCTCCTTTGACTGCTCCTTACAAGCTTTGCCTCTTTACGGTTTCTTTACTCATGTGGTAATACAAAGGATATGTTCTATGTTGTTACTATTTAAAAAACAATTTAACTTCCAATTATTTGCCCATCAGAGAAGAGACGCTTGTGTTTTGGAAGTGTTGAATCTCACGAGATTAGCATCCCTTCGTTCGGAGGCTACCTGAAGTGTGAGATTCACACGCTCGACCATGGCTGCCCTTTTGGAGTGGATTTGATCCCGACAGGTCCGAGCACTCAGCTGATATTACTCCACAACTGTGCTGTCATCTGCGTACACACAAGGCGCTAGTTCTTCGACCGTTCGAGTAGTTTGGACCACCGAACCTTTACGTTTTCATGGATGAGAAGGCAAACGAGCATACGGCCTACCTAACGATAAGTGATCACCGTAGCCCATGAACATCGGCAACACCAGGTCTAAATGCCAGCCTTTTAGAAAGGAGTCGACTCTTTTCTTGAAGGTTCGTAAGTAGGCCCGATGACCAGAAAAACCGGTGAAGAAAGTAAATTCCACAGTGTGGTCGTGCGAGGTAGAAAATTCCGCTTAAATCCCACGGTAGTGGACCGCCAGCCATCGAGATGATGAGGATGGAATTTCGAGTTCTATCCAGTATACGATGGTAGCATTCAGCAGCTGAATAATCCGAACAATTCTTCTGAGCACTCGGCGGCAATATGCGGTAGAAGATATGCGGACATGCATCGTTTCTTCGCAAAGCAAGTAGATCAAACGATCTGGAAGAACGATTCGTTCCGCTCGCCGTTGAATAACCACTTACTTTTTAAATCAATCTTAAAGGCGCAAAAACTTACGCTTTGCGAAATTTCTGAGCAAATTTTAGATCTTAAAACACAAAAAGTACCTTTATTTGTATGAAATTTGTTGTAGTGTAGTCAAATTGCAGCTTATGTTGTACCATACTTGCATGCATGTGTTGCTGAAATCAATAATCATTGCATTAGTTTTTTTTTAATAGAATAAGCGTGATAAACGAGCACACAGTCCACCTGATAGTAAGTGGATGCTGTGGCTCTTAGGTATCCTCGATTAAGAATTCGAATTCTGAGGACTAAGATGGAATGACTCGTTTCCGGTAAAAAGGTCTCCGGTTCCTTACTCTCACCGTACGAAACACAGCAGTATTACGCTGCTATTTCACGCTGGTATTCTATGAGACCGTTGTCCATCCCCGGTTGAGGTGACCCATTCGTGCTACAACCATAATATATATATCAGCATGGCTCAACCTCGTAAAAGATAGACGGATGCTGGAGACTCAGGGCCGTGCTTTGTGGCATTCCACCACGTAAATGTATATAAAGCATACGGATTTATATATATATATATTTAATTTTGGTCATTTTTATATTTAGCAGTGTTACGATCTACTGTGCGAATGAGAACTTAATCCTTTATAGTATTTGAAACACTAAAATGCACAATAACTACTAGTTTCAAGAGTACCAATTTTAAATATTATTATTCTTCTTTATATATTTTCCTATAAAAGTCTACTACTGAACATGGGCTGCTCTCATTATCAAGAGTTGCAACTGAAAAACACAAATGTAATATATAATTTTTTATATATTAGATTTATACTATCTATAGTTTAAGATGGAATGCTTCACAGTCTTTTATTATACTGGCTATCTATAGTCTTCAAACGAAACCACAGCAGTGCACAGACTGCTCCATGGCAGAATAAATACGTCATAGAGTACTTCTGTGTACTAAATATCGGGAATTTGTCAATAAAACAAAAATACAAATTATTCATCTAAATTTATTTTATCGCCTTCAAAGTAGGCCCCATCGCTTGCAATACAACATCTCCAACGCTTCATCCAGTCTTCCATACATTTTTCATAGGCTATTTGCGGTATGGCCTTTAGCTCATTCAGCGAATTTTTTTATGGCTTCTATCGACTCAAAACGTTTTCCTCGAAATGGTAATTTAACTTGGGAAATAAAAAAAAGTCAGACGGAGCCATATCAGGTGAATACGGTGCTTGGTCGAGAACTTTTGTTGAATTTTTCGCTAAAAACTCTTTCACTATAATGGCTGTGTGTGATGGTGCATTATCATGGTGCAGCATCCATGAGTTGTGTTGCCACAAATCTGGACGTTTTCGGCGGATACTCTCACGCAAACGCTTCATGACGCCTAAATAATATTCTTTATTCACTGTTTCTCCCTTTGGAAGGAATTCGGAGTGAACCACACCACGGTAGTCAAAAAAAACTGTCAGCATCACCTTGATTTTGGAGCGACTTTGCCGCGGTTTTTTTGGTTTCGGCTCGTTTTCGAGACGCCATTCTGAAGACTGTTGGCTTGTTTGCATGTCGTACTCATAAACCCATGTCTCGTCGCCAGTTATTATACGTTTCATAAAGTTCGGATCCGTAGAAGCTCGGGAAACCATGTCTTCAGCGACATGCTTTCGCTGCGCTCTTTGAACAAAATTGAGCTCTTTTGGAACTAGTCGAGCGGCGACGCGTTTCATGCCTAAAATGTCAATGAGAATGTTGTGGACGGACTTAAAAGATATGTTCACCTCACTAGCCAACTCTCTCAGACTCATACGTCGATTTTCGAGCATTAGCTTCTTGATATTGTCGATGTTTTCTTTGGTCGTAGCGGTTGAAGGTCTACCAGAACGAGGCAAGTCTACTACTACTTCTCGGCCTTCTTTAAAAGCCTTATACCATTCATAAGCCCTTGTTTTCGATATACACGATTCGCCGTAGGTATTTCGCAACATTTTTAGTGATTCACCACATGAAATATCATTTGAAACACAAAATTTAAGGCACACTCTTTGTTCAACAATATTTTCCATTGTAAAAATCGCCGAGAACTCAAAACTATGACCAACAAAAAGTGTAGTTTAAAACAAATTAAATGACAGATCCCGCTCAAACTTTGCGCGCTAAATCAGTACAGTGCTACCAACATGCAGTAAAAAAATTAGAACGACCTCTTTTACGCGGGTCTTTTTATTGACATATTCCCGATACTTTTTACACAGAGTTGTATACCTACCGTGAAGGACTTTTAGACAGGAAAAGATTCCTACCATCTAGAAATTAACCACGTCCAAATAAATCGTGGTAGCTTAGGGGCTAACTCAAAACATATTGCACCACATATTATCCTAAATTTAAAGTATTTTTTTCCTTTGAATTAAAATTTTTAATTCCTATACTAAAATAAATTTCGTCAGACAAACGAAAATTTACTTTCAATTTCTCAACCGAAAAAAAGTTATTAATTGAAGCAAGTTTTTACGGATTTTGTCGCGTTTAATTTAACTTTTTAATTCCCGATGTTTCGGGTGCTTTATAGCACCCATGGTCACGGGGGGACTGAGATGTTTGACATCCCGATGTCATAGTTAGCCCTGCTACCTTCAGTTTTTGAATATCAATTTTTGGTCCGATCTACTAAACTTAATATTACTATTCAAAAACTGATCAGATTATCATTACGAAAAAAATTACTTTAAATTACAAAATCTTAAACTACAGAAAGTTCTTCACCGATTGCTTGTTATTGTAATTTTGATACAACGTTGTAGTAGAATACGCACGTGTTTTTATATACTTTTTGAAAAAAATTTTTAAACTACAGCAACACGTGGCCTAGTACAGCTAGTTATTAATAATAATATTGAAATATGTATAACCTCACACGGTTAGACACGAAAATTGAAATCGTTTCGAGTAGATTTCATAGAATCCAATAGATATAACGATGTCTATGGGCTAAAGAAACCACTTACCATCAGGTGGGCTGTGTGCTCGTTTGTCACCTTTATCCTATAAAAAAATATTGAACAGTTCGGTAATAAACTGAACACCTGGCAAGCCGGACTGACCTAGGAGACTTATTATTTATGAGAAATAGCCGCCGTGTAGAGGCGGGTTAAGTTAATAAACTACCACATATTACCATAGGGAAATTAAACAGAAGATGTATTTTTCAATTGAAAAAGTTTGTATTTATAAACCAATAAAAATTTTTTTTAGATACAAACAGAATTTAATATTGTACATTTTATTTGCCTTTTTATCAATCAAGCTCGGCGATTAATAAATTAAATTATATGCGCTAAAATAAAAAAACCTAGCTGAACACAACCTATGATATTAATTGGCAAGGACAACGTCTGGCAGGTTCAGTTAGTACCTATATTATATTTTTATAGTATACTTTTATGTAGTAATACACAAAAGTCCGTCCTGCTGAATGCTATCTACTGAAGCCATACGTTTACTGTACATAGAGCAAGGATTTTCAACAATTGATTTATTGGGAGCGGATGATACTTACCATTACTTTTTTCGGAAGGAACACAAACATTGTTCTTGCGACAATAATTTTCAATGCATCTGCACTGCGGCCTGCACGGCACTACGATACCGATCCGTCCAAACTTCGGACATTTTCCAGAAGACGTGGCTGAGCTGCAGTCATCAGTAGGGCAGAACGGAGGACAAGCGTTAAATATTTCGTTATGGCCACAAGGAAATGGTGCTAAGTCAAAAAATTGCAACATTAATATTTATACTATGTAATATACGAATAAAAATAATAAATATTCATTGCAGAAATACAAAATTTATTACAAAATCATATTTAGTTTTCTATAAACTTATCTAATAACTCTATGTAATTGATTAAACATTTACGTTTTTAATTTAAGTTTAAGTACTTATTTCTTTATAAACTATTTAGGTACTTTAAAATAGGTGCGTTTGTATATGAATTTATATTTTATTGAAAGAGTTTATTTTAAAATTATTTTAAAATTTGATATTATTTTTGATTGAGCGCTAGTATTCTATCTTACATGGTAGAGCCATGCTGCATCTATATTAGTAGTATAGTTGTAGCACGAATGGGTCGGCTCGACCTGGGAAGGACCACGCTCTCGCAGAATAAGAGCGTAAAATAGCGGATGTGTTTCGTATGGTGAGTGTAGAGAACCGGAGACCCTTTTTACTGGTAAATAGGCATTCCATCTTAGTCCTCACGGGTGACAACGCATCTGCATTTTGATTCTTTATTGAGGATCGATGTGGATGTCTATGGGTCAGAGCAATCACTTACCGTCACGTGGACTGTGTGCTCGTTTGTCACACTATCCTATAAAAATAAGTATTAATAAAACTTTTATATTTACGGCATTGACTTGTGGGGATGCAAGTCCCGTTTTTAGCGCGGCTGTAATTAAAACGGCATTCGCAGCGTGGAGGAAGCTTGATGTCCGGTGTAATGGAAGTTGGGCAAGCCCTTTTGATGGACATTTTATTTACAGGGCAGAACTGATCACCGCATGGCGAAGGATTTTTTACAAGTACTTCATTCACTTCACATTTTAAATTATCTGTAAATACATTCAATTAAAAATAGATAAATTGAAATAATGATGTTGATAGCGAAATTAATGAGCATAAACCGTTTAACTGATGATGTGATGTGAGAAACACGTTCCGCGTTTTTTTTTTTGGAGATAGAGCCAAACTGCGCTCCACAAGCTATATTCTGTTTGCAGTACGAATGGGTCGGCTCGACTGAGGAAAAATAATTAAAGAAACTGAGATCCTTTATACTGGTAACGAGGCATTCCATCTAATCCGTCAAGGGTAACATTGTAGCTGCATTTTGATTTTGATCGAAAATAGATAGATAGGTATCTGTGTACCTCACCATTCATTTACATAATAAGAGCATTAGGTTATATATTTTAGAGCATTAGGATATAGGTTCGTTTGTTATCCTCAATCTATAAAAACACATAAAACGCATGACAACGAATCTAGCCTTTTTTGTAAGTTGAATGATGTCATCATGGAATGCAGTAGCCACTTACTATGAAACGAACTGCAAATTAGTCTGTTACTACAGTTTTATAAAAAGGTTTCTTTTGTTTTCACCGTCTTACACACGGGAAAAATCACAAAACAATCAAGTCCCAATACCAACAGTTTCTGTTATAGACTTTTGGACAAATGTTAAATTTAAATTTGAATCCAGAACCTGCGAAGTAGTAGCATGACCATTAGGCGACGCAGTCGTGCTTATTCCTATTAATATAAATGGAAACTTTCGTTTTTATAAATATAATCTTAAATCTTCGAAAATTCTTTACCGATTACTTTGAAAGTTTTCGTAATTTAGGTACTAGAAGAGACGCCGAGCCTTGGTAGTTTGCAACAACTTTTAGAGCCCATGGGCTCAAACTTTAGTAGTCTGTGCCATATAAAGGTATTACTCTTTCACATCAACAATTGGCCAGGTATAGCTATATAATATACTGCAGTGACCGAGATCTGCGTAGAAAAATCGAAAGATTTCCATAAAGATTTCATGGAATCAAGCAGATATATTTGGTAGTTATCATATTTGGCTGGGCCGTGCCAGTACGAATTCGTTTATGAGTTTAAAAGACAAATATTTCGATATTAAAGGCCGACACTTAAATTTTATTTATATGTGAATTTTATTTATATATAGATATTATCTCACCACACATTTCCCTTGTCACACAATCTCCATTGTTATTCCTATAAAATCCCTTTTTACAAATACATCTATTTTTGCAGATCTCTGTCGCGTTATCAATGCAATTAAATAGAATGTCACGATTTTCACATGTTTTCTCCGGCGGACATGACTTCACACATTTCAGCTCCTCATCAGGTCGAGTGCACATCGTTACATCTGTAAAAGATACTGTTATTATTAGATGATTTTGTTTTCTCCGTGTGATAACGGTAGAATAATAATAATCCGTCTTCACATCTCGTGACGTGGGGTGTTGTAGTCAACCCTATCGTTTATAGAAAACATTATCTATATACTACGACATCTTTTTTATAAAATTCGAACTTACAGTCCACCTGATGGTAAATGACTCCTACAGTGTGTGTGTGAGTGCGTGCGCGCACGCGCGCGCGCGCGCGTTTGTGTGTGTGTGTGTGTGTGTGTGTGTAACGCCCGTGCAATATGAATAATGATCAATATGAGTATGTTGAGACATTCTGATAAAAATTACTGGAATCATTAAATTGACCGGGCTTTATAAAGATAGTCCGTTACCGTTTTATACCATTGAATCGTGACTAATACAAACCAGAGTAATAACAAGATTAGGCTAGATTAGGTTACGTAATTTATAACGTTTTTTTTTTATAAATAGTAACGTAGATTATTTTGATGTCAAATGTCACTTCAACTCAATGGGAATAAAGATTTTCATAAGGGTATTTTTTCATTGCAACGCAAATGAAGGAATAGCCCATTGCTGACATTTGATATTGCAAAGTGGTTTTCCCTTAATTCACATTTTTACTAGTTAATTTCAGATTTGGTATATTGTTAAAGTATTGACTTAATAGTGATTAACATTAAGTCAATACTTTAAAAATGTACCAAATTAGTGGTTAGGTTAGGTTAAATTATATCCCCCCCCCCTTCCCAACAGAACGGGTTCCTGCCTTGTTGTTGGGTGGTTTGGTCACCCACGGTGAACAATGTCCTGCGAGGTGAAGGGTCGGCCCAAGTTGGCCTCTCCGAATTGGCTTAACTAGTCCAATCGTTTGCCTGGTTGGTATATCGATACGCCACTCACCCTATCCTCCGCGAATGATGCGGTGGTGGTAGGACCGTCGGGCTATAGGACTGTTAGTATTAACCACTCTCTACTCTTGGTTGGCGGCGGAATCACAGACCAGATTCGCCACGGGTCAAGAAACCTGGTGCTTCGAAGTTCGTTTTTTCCTGGCCCCATGGCTATCAGACTCGGGAGGATCCGTTGCGCGGTTGGAGTTTGAGGCCCCGGAAGATGGCGCGCCTTGTGTTCCTGGTTTGCCTTACCTGAGAAAGAACATGGGAGGAGATGTCCTCTCCAGAGGAGGGGCTGCCTCGGGGCGGCATGGGTGAGGTCGCGCAATTGCGTGAAAGCGTTCCCGTGGCCATGTCAATATGCGGCAAAGATAGAACACCATGGGTTTTAAGTACGTGCGAGTCCGATATAAGCCGTCCCTGTCTTGTATAAATTAGGCTTTATCAAATTGCCCAACAATTTCTCGTAGCAATATAAAAAGTAATGACCAGTCAATATGATAAATAGTGAAGCTTAAATCAGTATTAATTACATAGTCCGATTTGACTTATCATTAATCATAATGCCCGGTAATTATGAACAGTACTCCGATTAATCACTTTATCCAAAACGTATATATCACGTTTATTTTGTTTATTTTAAAAAACTTACTGAAATCAGGTGATTCGGGACACTGATCCATCGGTATGCAGGTTGAATTTAAGTCCATTCTCAAGAACCCGGATTCACACACACATCCAGGCTGACCCTGCTCTTTTGAATCACATTTATATTTCGCCACGATAGATTCACAAATATCAGGCGGGCAAGACTTTTTGTTAGGTTCATACTTTTCATTCGGACCGCTGCATTTTTTATCTGTAAAGTAAACAAAATATTTCCACATTATCACTGAACATTTCGAGCTCGAAGAACCAACAACTGATAAGCGACGAGCTGGTAAGATATGGAGGAAGACGATGAATATATGTGGCCCAGAACCACATTTTATAGCATTCATAGAAAACAAAACATGGTCCTAAAGTCCTGGACGTTTTATCAGATCGTACACCCATCTAGTGGGGGGGCGAGGGTCTAGACCTAGGCCCTAATCGGTTTTAGAGCTATAATGCCGGGCCATTGCCACATCCGTTTGCTAATCTGTTAAGCTATGTGTGGATTCCGTTCTAGCAGAAACTCCGAGTCCTCCCTGATAACTCTAACAAAAGAAGAAATTGACTTTTATTAAAAAGTAAAAGCGACTTCTAAAGGTAATAAAAAATTTCCTGAATGAAAAATGGGTACAGCCAATGATTAATTATCCAGCATCTTCTACCTTCAAAAAAGGAGGAAGATCTCAATTCGAGGTTTTTCTTATTTATGTTACTTGATATCTTCGTAAAATTATGGCCCGATTTTTGTGATTTTTCATTTATTAAATAAGTTATATTTCAGGGGTAGTCCTGTATTTTATTATTATTTTTTAAATGGAACTATTAAGACAACATTCTAGCTTAAGCCAAGTAGACTAATTGTCACTTTAATATTATAAAAAACCTACATTATAAAGCCTTCTTCTGTCTATATTATATCGAAAAACCTGGGTGTATTCCGATATAAAAGAATAGGGTGATGACGATCGCAGTACCCCATGTGAGCACCTTTGTCGCTGCTGTCCGTCGCTGGTCTGGAATTTTTTTGTTTGAAAAACGTTACCACCACACTAGGATTTTCTTCTGTATCGTGGAGGTAGTTTACAAACATAAATTGCACGAGGACAAACATCCAGACCCGGAACAATTATTTGTAGGCCACACAAATACTTATTCCGCGCGGGATTCGAACCCGCGAACCCCAGCGCAACAACTCAATGCTACGCCACTGCGCCACGGAGCCGTCTAAACAAGGTGTAAAGAGATGATTCTCCCGCCAAGTAACAGAAGCTATAAGATCTTTTAGGCTTATCCCATAGTGATTATCTACGGTGCCATCCCACGGCAGGTGAATTAATGATCGCAGTACCAACGTCTCACACCTTTGAAGCTACAGTATTGAGTATACACGGATAAATATTATCACCGTAAAGGTTCATCGCCAATGTATAATGTACAGTCAGAAAAAAAACACGACTTAAAGTTCTCACCGCAAAGGTCGCTTGTGACGCAGAAGCCATCAGGATTTCTGTAGAAGCCATTGTTACAAACGCATTTATTTTTACAAACTTCGGTCATATTATTGAAGCATCTATAAAACACGTTCCGATTTCGACAAGTTCTTTCAGGCGGACAGGCCTTGACACATTGAAGCGACTCGTTCGTCTTATTACATTCTGGTTCCTCTGAAATGGATAATACACTTACAAATACTTACACTTTTTATAGACTAAAAGCGAAAAATCAGAACACATTCTACCTAGTAAAAGGTGTATGCTATGACCCATAGACATTTTTATCTATACCCGATTAAGAATCAAAATGTAGATGAATTGTTACCCCTAAAGGTTAAGATAGAATGCCTCCTTACCAGTAAAAAGGATCCCTGTCACTTCAACCTTATAACAAACTCACTTATTTCACGCTGATATACTGTGAGCACGTGGTCCTTCCTCAGTCGAGCCAACCATAATGTGTTTGGGGCGTGGCTCAATAACATAATTCACATATCGGAGAATGTACAACGCTTGTCTATAAAGTTACAGCGTTATATACGTCCCACCGCTGGGCTCAATCCTGCTCTCACTTTCGCGAGTGTCATAGAGCAATTTGTCTGCGGCGATGCTCCACTAAGTGTTGGAGCACACGTTTCTTCGAAATATTATAATATTTAAAAATGCAGCAAGTAACAACACCCACAGCAAGAGATGATATGATAGATTATTTTATGTCGTCACTCGACAACACACGGCAATATATTATACAAATCGGGGCTACCGGATCAAAATGAAAATTTCCAGGTAAAAGGTTCTGCTAGGAGTAAATTTATTGTAGTATACATAAATTTCTTAATATACGCGAGTGAATCTATGTATAGGGATTTTATTGCGTTACATCATCATAACCATTACAGCCTTCAACAAGCCCACTGCTAAACATACGCCTCCCACAAGAAACGCCACAAAGCACGGTTCCGAGCCGCATGCGCCCATAGACAGGCAGGAATCATACCAAGTCGTCACTCAAACTAGTGGGGATCGTGTTTAATTAAAACTTATTTTGAATTCCTGATTATTCGACTTTGTATTGCAGCGACCCAGTTCACGGGGGATCACGTTAATAGTCAGTGCTATTTCAATTTGATATTGTAAATCAATAAAAAATACAAATAATCGGTTACAACAAAAATACCGAACACTAGGCATGAAGCTAAAATATTGAACAGTTTCTTAATAAACTTCACACCTACTCGAACCAACTAACAAAACACTAATAGATGCCGTGTATGGGCGGAGGAATATAATTCACTTACACGTATTATTATAGTGAAATTCAACAAAAAGTGGCCAGTAACATCTTTCTGATATCATCTCAATGCAAATCCGCCTGCCAAACGAGGAAACTGTGACAAAAATCCCTTTTATAAGGCAATCTATGTGGGAGGCCTTAGCCTCATGAATAGCACACTTTTAATATACAGTAATGGATAAATAGACATTCAACGACTTACGTTTTCTCTAATAATCCGCTTACCCTATTAAGAATTATACTACACAGTACTTACGTGAATTAATAAGTTCAGGACACTGCTTCATCGGCATACACGTGGAAGTTAGATTCATTCTCAGAAAACCCGATTTGCAAACGCACCCTGGCTGGCCTTTCTCCTTGAGATCACAAGCATATCTTGATACAATGGAACTGCATATTTCCGGGGGACATTTCTTTTTCTTTGGTTCGTAAATTTCATAGGGTCCCGTGCATTTCTTGTCTAAAACCAAAACATAACTAAAACTTACACGATACTAGCAGTTGGGGCACAAAACCTCCCACATTTTGAGAGGGTATTGAAATAAGCAAAAGTCCTTGTTGCTCCAATAGGTCTTTCGAATCTTCATTTGCCCTCGAAGTTTTTTTAATTTCTCAGAAATACAGATTTCCTAAAGATATTTTCCTTCATCGCTTAACTAATCATAAATAACACTAATAAAATTATGATTAACAATATCAGTAGTACCGGCGAGGATACACGTCGGCAAAATTTGCATCTAATACTTCGTGTAATGGAAGAGGTCTAAAAGGTAACTTTTACCGGATTAATATCCAGATAAATAGATAAGTAAAATGTGGTCACTCTTGTGCTTGTACTTCCAACCAGAGTGAACGAGAGTACGATAGCTACATACAAGCGTCACACCGCACGAAAATAAGTGCTGTGACACCTACAAAAGCAGACAGAGAAAATAACTCAATGCCCTTGTCAGCAACACTAAATATTGTTGACTCTGTTCCGACTATGGAACAATAATAATTGTTAGTAATATACATCGTTAATCCGATCTTTATCCCAGACCAGATGGTTCTTATAGTTATTGGATTCCTATGGATAATGAAATAAGCGATACCTCCACCATGAAGCCATTATCTATTATGACTTAAATGACGTCTCAATTTTACTCACCACAAAGCTCACTAGTAACGCAAAATCCATCAGTATTTCTGTAGAAGCCATTGTCGCAAACGCATTCATAATTACATGGTTCAGTCTGATTAATTAGACAGTGATAACGTTTATGACGATTTTCACACGTTCGCACCGGTGGACATGACCTTACACATTGAAGGCTCTCGTTTTCACGAGGACATTTCATATTTTCTAAAAGACGGTCAGTTATATCAATGAGTATTTAAAACGCGATTAAAATCAGGTAATCATGATTTAAAGAAGTTATAAATTTAAAAAAAATCATAGTATGTGTGATTGTTAATACTAGAACTACACTCATTTTTAAAATTCATCATCATCATTACAGCATTTCCAAATCTACTGCTGAATATAGGTCTTCGTCCTTACTTGCTATAGGTGCCACGAGTTGCAAGCCGCTTGGCAACCTCAGTTTTTCTTTTATTCAGCTGTTATCAGCAAGATGCTCCATCCCATCTCCTGGTCCAGATTCCTTCTGTCACCTCTTACGACACCCACGGGATGATATCGGGTAGTGGATAGTCTTACGTCACCTCTACATGGCATTTTAAATTAAAAAGCACCAAAAGAAACAAAATTTAAATTAAGTATTAACTATTTTGTGATAGGACATGGAATTCACCGAAATCTTTATTAAAATGCACGAATGTAAAAATTAAGACTTGATTTTAAATTAAATGCAATGCATTAACGTCCATATATTCAACGCAAAATTTAGTTCCTGTGTGTACAATTTAGTACTTAACTCCAATTTTTGTATTATTAATTGCCTTTTAAAGGACGTACAGATAAATTATTTAGTCTATAGCTTAACAGAATTCGATAGTATTTAATATGTCATGTATATGTATAGCTGTAAAATTATGCTTTATGTAAGCAACATTTATAATAATAATCATTATCATCATCATTACAGCCTTTCACAAGTCCACTGCTGAACATAGGCCTCCCCCAAGGAATGCCACAAAACAATAATATAACACATACAATATATGTGATAATATTTATAAAAATGAAAATTGTAAAACATTTAAACATATGATATCTGAATCGAATCAGAACTTCAAATTGATTGCTATTAAATTGTATTATGATCAGAAGATGATGCTTATTGCAATTGAAATTGATAATAAAGATTGGAATACGATTAGGAATTTTTTAAACACAAAATATTTATTTTATTATTCTTATTCATAGTTTGAAAAAAATATGCTTTAAAATATTTTGAATAGTACTATTTTAGTTTTGTTATGTTTAATAAGAGTAATAAAAACTGGACTACTTATCACAATTGTGTACATATTTTTACGTGTTTCAGACCACTTACAACGTTAAAGGTGCCCTGAACATTTATCTAGCAATATTTGAAATAGCTTTATTCAAATGTCTTGTCGATTTTGCAAAATCTATATCAAAAAATGCGTAATCGGTATTGTCACTATTCTCAAAGAGAGATCCGAGGCAAAGTAGAGAGTTCAAACTAGAGCTGATCATTACAAACAATATCATTAAAAAATAGTTTTCATATTTTACGAAAGTTAAAATAATTAGTTATCAATACTTCGCATTTTTCTGCACTTCACTCTGTGGTGTTTTATAACATTTACGTAAGTAGTGCCCAACAAGGCAATGCCTTTCTTCTTTTTATTTAATAAAATTCAATACAATACAATACAATGGAATGAAGTAGAATGGAATAAAATGGAATAAAATAGAGTAAACTAGAATACAGAAGAATAGAGAAGACTAGAATACAGAAGATTAGAAAGGCTAGAGTAGATAAGAGTAAAATAGCGAAGACTAGAGAAAATATAGTAGAATAGAGAATAGAATTTTTATTCAGTATAGATCATAACATAATAGTTATAGAAGGTATTACCTGCAAAGAACCAGCAAGAAACTCAACGTGTTATGTACAATAATGGTCTACAAATATATTTATTACAATAAAATTCGTATAATTATTGAGTTTTAAAACATTATTTATATCTTACCACACATTTCCCTTGTCACACAATCTCCTTTGTCGTTCCTATAAAATCCCTCTTTACAAATACATTTATTTTTGCAGACCTCTGTCGCGTTATCAATGCAATTAAATTGAATGTCACAATTTTGACATGTTTTCTCTGGCGGACATGACTTCACGCATTTCAGCTCCTCATTAGGTTTAATGCACATCGTTACATCTGTAAAAGATTTTGTTATTATTGCTTTATTTAGTTTCCCCGTATATTAATAGCAAAAGAATAATCTGTCTTCACATCTCGTTACGTGGGGTTTTGTACTTAACCCTATGGTCTATAAAAACGCCATCTTTTTATAAGAATCCGAGCTAACAATCCACCTATTGGTTAATGTCTACTATAGTCGATGGACACCTGCAACCAGCTTGAAACGAAAACGGCTACAGACGCGTAGACACCTCTGAGTGACTAAGATGAAATGCCTCAAAACTTCTAATACTGGCATTTAGCCCAAAACGCAGCAAGCTTTGTGTTACTAATTATCATCTCATAATTTGGGGGCAAAAATAGGTAAGAAGGTAACTACTAACTAACTAAGTACTACTAACTAACTACTTTTATAAAGAAAATAAGGCCTACCACCTAGAAATTCTACGTGGAAGTCGACTTTAGATCGAATTTCTTTGTCTTAAATAGAAGATGCTGCTTTAATAGTCGTTAACACTATTATAAAAAGAGAATACAACAAAAAAATACAGAAAGCGGATGCACCGATTGTGGATAAAAGAGTTACATTGCAATATATTTCTGCGATAGTCAAAGTAGTTCAGAGTTCATTAGTTCAGAGTAGTTAATCTCCATTTCAAGTCGCAACCTAAGGCGACACGTCCGTCTCCATTAAATACACGACTTAGACTGAGGCTCCTTTGAACGCGCCAAAACGCCGTCAAAATATGGCTCGCCCCGCGGCGACGAATTGACTCATGGCACGGCGTGCCTCAGATTGAGGCATTCCGACTCCAGTTGGGCAGCCACTCGACCCTAGGTTGCCCCTAGTGTATACTTAAACTTTGAAGTTGACTCCATTATCAATGGTAACAGTAGCCATTTTGAAGGATTATTCGCAAAAACATTTATTAATTTATAGACGGATTATCAATCAATTAATAATGCATGATAGAAACAGTTTTCTGTGTCGGCGATTTCACCTAGGTGAGCAATATGGTGACAAATTATTAAAGTTTTATCCACACAGGATCAGTATTGACAGTGCACTGATATGGACAAGCTCAGTATGTACTCTGACTCTTTTACATTTGTAAGTGACGCACACGGCAGTAGAAGGTGCCTCGATCACTGTGTGACTGCTACTGTCACTTATCAAACTGTTATATTATATATATATATATGCAGAGGTAATAAAACTATATACAATTTGCATACAATTATTTTTTTAAATAAAATATTGTTCGAGTTTTTAAAAAAAAGTTATTTCTATACGTTTGAATAATGATCCTGATAACATACTTAACGGAAACCACAGGGTTTTTGTTACATATTGTATATAATATATATATATTGATAGACACAATGGACTCTAGGGGGTTCGTTGCGCGGGTGAAGTAGGAGGCTGCAGAGTAAGGCGCGCCCTGTGTTCATGGTACGCCTTACCTGAGAAGGAGAAAAGGAGAAGGGGGAGGGGAAGTCCTCCAGACGACGGGCTGTCACGGTATAACCGGCGTTGGTAGGGCCGCGGATATGTACGAAGGCGTTCTCGTGGCCTTGTCAATATGCAGTGAAGGTGGAACACTATGAGGTTTTAGTCGGTGCTACTCTGACATAACCCGTCTTTGGTAAAGCCATGTAAATTATGTTATATCAAATTGCCCAACAGTTTCGTATCATTATTAATAACGACCGCACAAGTTTATTTTTTTATTAAAAAAAACTTACTGAAATCAGGTGATTCGGGACACTGTTCCATCGGTATGCAGGTTGAATTTAAATTCATTCTCAAGAATCCGGATTCACACACACATCCAGGCCGACCCTGCTGTTTCGAATCACATTTATATTTCGCCACAATAGATTGACAAGTTTCAGGCGGACAAGACTTTTTGTTAGGTTCATACTTTTCATTCGGACCGCTGCATTTTTTATCTGTAAAATTAAAACAAATATTTCTACACTGTCACTGAACATTCTGTACTCGAAGAGGAAGGCAATAAATGCATGCGGCCCGGAACCAATCTACGATTCTACTGCGGACATCATCGTTACGGTTTCTATCACGCAGAGACTCCGAGTCCTCGCTGTTAACTCTAATATAAGAAAAATTTGACTTTAAGTAGCGTCTTTAAAGAACTAAAAATAATAAAATAATTTCCTGAATGAATAATAGGTACAGCAAATGATTAATTAACCAGGGCCTTTAACCTTCAAAAAAAAAGGACGAAGATCTCAATTCAAGTGTTGTTCTTGTTTATGTTAATCGATATCTTCGTTAAATTATGGACCGATTTTTAGGATGTTTCATTTATTAAATAGTTTATACTTCAAGGGTCCTATATAAAATTAAGAAAAAATTGGATATGTAGTTTCAAATGGAACTATTAATACGACATTCGAGCTGCTGATATTTCTGAGTACACTTCATCATCATCATCATCATTACAGCCCTACACAAGTCTACTGCTTAACACAGGCCTCCCCCAAGGAATCTCACAAATCACGGTCCTGAGCCACCTGCATCCATCGACTCAGTACACTTAAAAACTTCATAATTTGCTATACCCACATAATAATATAAAATTAAGAACAACACTCTCCAGGATTAACTTAAGGTAAACACTAGGTTAAGGAGCCGTGACAACATGTCAATGCCCTTTTAAGCCTATGAGTTTATCAGTATTCGTCCCACCGTTTTCACAATTCCTGACGGTAAACTAAAGTACACCCAGGTATTTCATCCTAGTCCTTGGGGGCAGCAATGCATCTGGAGCTTTCATGTTGGATCTTGGTTGCCGATGTTTATGGGCTACTGTAGTTACATACCACCAAGCACGCTATTTATCAGTTTAATATTATAAAAATAAATCTACAGCATAGTCTTTTTCCGTCTATATTATAACAAAAAACCCAGAGCTGGACAAGGGTGTATTCCGTTGTAGAAGGATTAACCTTAAACGTCACTTTTTATAAGGCGAATTGGCAATTGATAGTACCCAGGCGTGAGCACCTTCTACGCTGCTGTCAGACGCTGGTCTGGGTTTTTTACACCAAGCGTAAATAGATGATTATATCGACATGTATCAGAAGCCATAAGAACTTTTAGGCTTATCCCATAGCTTCTAATGACACCCACGGGAAGAAATAGTTTGAATTATTCTCTTACACTATCATCACACGGCAGGTGGATTGTTAATCACATTACCAGTCGTCTCGCACCTTTGAACCTACAGTATTGAGTATACACGTATCACCGTAAAAGTTCATCGCCGTTGTGTAATGTATAGTCAGAAAAAAAGCACGACTAAAAATTCTCACCGCAAAGGTCGCTTGTGACGCAGAAGCCATCAGGATTTCTGTAGAAGCCATCGTCACAAACGCATTTATTTACACAAACTTCGTTCATATTATTGGCGCATATATAAAACACTTTCCGATTTTGACAAGTTCTCACAGGCGGACATGCCTTAACACATTGGAGCGACTCATTTGGCTTATTACATTCTTGTTCCTCTGAAATAGAAAATAAATCTTATATTTTTATGGAATAAAGGTGACTAATGAATAAAAAATATGTTTTAAAATAACTTAAATAGTAATGTTTTCGTTTTATATTCCTATATCTATTAAGAGTAATAGAAATTGGAGTGCTTGTTATAATCGTGTACATGTTTTTGTGTGTTTCAGGCGTCTTACAACGTTAAAGGTGAACTGAATATCTATCTAGCAATACTTGAAATGGCTTTATTCGCACATCTATCGGATTTCAAATGTCTCAGTCGGTTTTGCAAAATCTATAGCGTAATCGGTATTGACAATATTCTCAGAGATCTGGGGAAAAAGTAAAGTTCAAACTAGATCTGACCGATGCAACCAACATCATTAAATAATTGTTTTCATCTTTTAACACAATTAAAATTATTAGTTATCAATACTTCGCACTTTTATGCAATTCACTCTTTATTTTTTTGGGTGTTTTACATCATTCACGTAAGTAGTGCCCAAGACGGCAATGTTTTTCTTCTTTCTCTTTAATAGAATATAATAAAATGAAGTGGTATAGAATCTAATAGAATTTAATAGAATGGCATAGAATGGAGTAGAATAGATTAGAACAAATAGAATAGAATAGACTAGAATAGAATGGAATAGCTTAGAATAGAATTGAGTAAACTAGAGTAGAAGAATAGAATAGAGAATATAATTTTAATGCAGTATAGACTATTACATAATACCTATAAAAAGACAATTTTTATGTTCCACTGATTCGGAAAATACATTCTGTATTCCCTGCGAAGATCCAAGAAGAAACTCAGCATATAATTTATTGTAAATTATATACTGAGTTTCTTTTTGTTAGTCTATAAATATATTTATTCCAATAGAATTCCTATGAGTTTAAAAATGTTATTTATATCATACCACACATTTCGATTGACTTGATTTCGATCACACAATCTCCTTTGCCGTTCCTATAAAATCCCTTTTTACAAAAAATTGTTCAAACAGTTGTACAAACAGTTTAATCAGTTGTTGCGCTGGGGGCCGCGGGTTGCCACAAAGCACGGTCCTGAGCCACCTTCATCCATCGACTTCCTGCATGTCTTACCAGGTCGTCACTTCATCTCGTGGGGAGTCGCCATACACTTCGCCTACCGGTACAAGGCTGCCACTCAAGAACTTTTCTTCCCCATCGGTTGTCGGTTCTTCGAGCTATATGGCCGGCCCACTGCCATTTCAGCTTACTAATCCGCTGGGCTATGTCGTTACTCTGGTTCTACTGCCGATATACTCATTTCTAAGTTTATCACGCAGAGAAACCCCGAGCATAGCCCTCTCCATAGCTCGCTGAGTGACCTTGAGCTTCCTCATCCGGCCAGCAGTGAAGGACCACGTCTCAGATCCGCAAGTCATTACTGGCAACACGCACTGGTTGTACAATTACGTTTTAAGGTTTTGAGGTATGTCTGAAGAAAAGATGTGTCGTAGCTTCCCGAACGCTGCCCAGCCGAGTTGAATCCGTTGATTGACCTCTCGGTCGAAGTTGGACTTACCTAGTCGGACTATTTGTTCCAGGTAAACATACTTGTCAACAACTTCGAGCTTAGTGCTCCCAACAGCTACCGGCATAGGTGTGACATGGACATTAAACATGATCTTTGTTTTGTGTTCATCCTAAGACCTATTCGTTGGGAGACACTATTGAGTTTTTTTTTATAGGATAAGTGTGACAAACGAGCACACAGTCCACCTGATGGTAAGTGGTTGCTGCGGCCCATAGACATCTACATCTATCCTCATTCATTATTATATTAGTTCATTGAGCATGGTGCTTAGGTCCTCCAGCGATTCTGCCATAAGGACTATATCGTCGGCAAATCGAAGGTGAGTGATGTACTCGCCATTGATGTTAATACCGTAACCTTTCCAGTCCAGAAGCTTGAAAACGTCTTCCAACGCAGAGGTGAAGAGTTTCGGGGATATAACGTCACCCTGTCTTACACCTCTCTGCAATTGGATAGGTTTCGTACTCTGGTTCTGTACTCGGATAGCCATCGTAGCTCTTCTGTACAAACAATTCAGCACTTCGATATACCGACAGTCAACTTGGCACGGCTGAAGGGACTGCAGCACCGCCCAAATTTCTACGGAATCAAAGGCTTTCTCATAGTCCACATACGCCAGACATAGTGGCAAATTGTACTCTTCGGACTTCTGTACAATTTGCCGAAGGGTATGTATGTGGTTTATGGTGCTAAAGCCCTTTCGGAAACCGGCTTGTTCGGGAGGCTGGAAATCGTCAAGTCTGCGCGCCAGACGATTCGTACGTTATCAGCGCAATCAAATATAATGTTGCGATTTTGACATGTTTTCTCAGGCGGACATGACTTCACACATTTCAGCTCCTCATTAAATCGAGTGCACATCGTTTCGTCTATAAAAGATGTTGTTATTATTGCTTTGTTTAGTTTTCTCTTTGTGATAACGACTTCAGAATAATCCGGCTTCACACCTTGTTACGTGGAGTGTTGTTGTCAACCTATGTATATGTATAACTATGGTCTATAGAAAACATTATCTATATACGCCTACGACATCTTTTTATAAAAATCGAAAATATTAGCTCAGGAGCTAACTCAAAACATATTGCATCACATGTTGTCCTTAATATAAACTAAATTTTAAACCTCAGAAAATTCTTCACCGATTGCTTTGTAATTTTCACATAACTTTGTATATGAATACGCACGTGTTTTTTTTTTTTGAACTCTTGGAGCCTCAGAAACGCGTGAACGGGTTCAAATAGTCATTAATAATAATATTAAAATATTTATAACACTCTCAGACCGTAGCAAAATTGAAATCGTTCCAAATAGTTGTTATAGAATCTGGCACATTTTTTTAAAACTAAAAATGGGCTCACTCTTGACCATCTGGCCCAAAGGCAAAGATGAAGTCAACGATTGAGCGAGTTTGCCCAGGAAAAGCATGTTATCACGCACCTTGATGAGGTCTAGGTTATAGATACTCGGAAAAACAGACGCCGACAGGGCATTCTACTCCTTGGCTGTGCGAATTATGAAAGATGACTAATAGCGCTTAATGCGAATATTCTGAATGTCAACCAAGTGTGATTGGTAACGTTGTTATTTTGCTGAGCCTTTCCAAAGATGACTACAATTCTCGATGCATATTCGGACGCGAGCTTTGTTTAAAGTTAGAAGCTGTCCAAGCGTGAAGGACGCTTCACCCAGTGGCATATCAATAGGTCGGGCAGTATGCCATGGGCCTCCAGCGAATAGGGGCTCTCTGCCCGAGAGGACCGTGAGCACAAGAGGATCTTAATATTTATTATTACAACATTTAGTAATTTTTGTTAGTTTTATCTTTCATTAATTTAAATGACCTACCCTACATGCATACAAGAGTTAAACAAAGAAATCTTTTTTTTTTAATTTCAATGCATTTGTTGGAAAAGATATTACCTAATCAGTTTTTAATTTGCTAAAAATTGAAAAAAGACGTTATAGAAATGCAAACATTCTTTGAAACTGTGCAACAAAAAAAATTTTTTTTGTTGCACAGTTTCAAATAATTTTTTTGCCTAGTATTAAAATATGGAATATGCACTCATTGACAAACTTAGAGGAACAAAAAAGCACCCATGATCACGTCGGGAACTGAGGTGTTCGACTTCCCAACGTCATAGTTAACCACGGCTACCAACGGAATAAAATTATTAATTTTTTGTCCGATCCACGCTATAAAGTACCCAAATAACGTGGTAGAGCCATGCTGAAGCTATATTAGTATTATAGTTGTAGCACGAATGGGTCGGCTCGACCGGGGAACGACCACGCTCTCACAGAATACCAGCGTAAAATAGCAACTTGACGCTGCTGTGTTTCGTATGGTGAGTGTAGAGAACCGGAGACCCTTTTTCCTGGAAATGAGGCATTCCATCTTAGTCCTCAAGGCTGACAACGCATCTGCATTTTGATTCGCAAACGATAATAGATGTAGATGTCTATGGGCCTCAGCAACCACTTACCATCAGATGGACGGTGTGCTCGTTTGTCACCCTATTTCTATAAAAAAAAATCGGGAATTTAATATAAGCGAATAAATCTAATAATAATAATAATAATCATTATCTAAACTAGTTTTATTAAAATGTTGTTGTGACCGGACAAAGACTCGCAGGACAGGGACGTAAACTGAAAATTGTGGCCACAGATTACTGTCTCATCGTTGCCATCATGGTTAGAAACCAGACCTTAATTTCTTCTGAGGTAAAAACGAAGCTCCAAGAAGTTCGAGGAGTTATTATAAGCACAAAAACTCAAAAAAGACTCAAATCGGCCGGAATCAATTCACACTTGCCTGTCAGACGCCATCTTGCCACATGCCATCGTGTAGCTCGAGTTAATTTTGCCCGAAATCCACGAAAATTGGAAAGACAAAACTTGAAGTCAAGTTCTATTCATAGATGAGTCTAGATTTTGCCTGAAGCCAGATAATGAAAGGATTAAACTGTAGAAATACCCGGGAGAGATGTGAGCTCAGTACAACATCATTGAAAATGAGGCATATAGTGGAGGGTCAGTTAAGATAAGGGGAAGTATTTACATGGGGGAAAGTACGGAAATATGCGTCATTGAGAAGGTTACTAATAGCGGCTAGATAAGTAACTGAGATTTTGGAAGAAATTGTAGTGCCCATTTGTCTATTTTATAACAGACAAATTAAGAAAAGCGTTACAGGAAGAATGGAACCCAATCTCTCAATATGTTACTGATAACTTTGTAATGTCAAAAACACTTTTGCTGAACAGAAAGCCCAAAAAATTCATTTTAATAATAAAAATTTTGTACTAAACCAAAAATTATGATTTCATTCCAGTGCGCTCTTTAAATTAAATGTTAACTAATAATATAGCGTTTTAAGGACCTATTTTATGTAGTGATTTATTATAAAACTCATTCGGCTTATTACATTCTTGTTCTTCTGAA